GTCAGCCACTGGATTCTGACTGATAAAAATTTCGAGGAATTTATTTTAAAAAAATAACAAAACACTTTTCAACCAGAAGTCCAAAACAAAGTATTGAGATTATTTTTTTGGCAGCATACAATAAAAAGTGAGGACAAAACCCCATAGAAAAAAATTCTTTTCAAAAAAACAGATGGGAAATGAGATCAGAGACTTCCAGACCCTTTGTCAGCAGCGGGGCCTGACTTCCTTTTCAGGTCAGTGGTTTGTAGATCATTATCAGTCTCGTGTTAGTAGAAGAGGAAAAGAAATAAGAAAAATAAAAATCAGGATGTTATTTAAAGGGAAATGGATTAACCACACTTCTCTATACAATGCTGAGAACACTAGGATTCTCCGGTACCTAAACATTTTCAAAAGTGAAAATTTCTAGGATTGCCAATTCTTAATAATCTTTGCTTTATATTCCCATTTCTTCTTTTAAATTCCTTTGCTTAGAGATTTGGCATTGATAATACACTATGAAATACCAGTGGAAAGAGCACCCGAGGAATCTCTCCTCACCCTGACTTCACACATAGCTTTAACGATGACAACAATTTCACACCCACAGAGCACAGAAATCCTGTAACATGCTCTTTAAAAAAAACCAAAAAACTGTGCTAAAATATCCATATAACATAAAATTTACTATCTTAATCATTTTTAAGTGTACAGGTCAGTGGCATGTTCATTGTTGTGTAACCATCAGCACCGTCCATCCACAGAACTCTTTTCACCTTGCAGAACTGAAACTGTGTACCCATTAAACAACCCTCCCCATTCCCTCTCCCCAAGCCCTTGGCAATCACCATTCTACTTTCCATCTCTATAAATTTGACTATTCTAAGACCCTCATATAAGTGGAATCATACAATATTTGTCTTTTTTTGACTATTTTATTTCACTTAGCATAATGTCCTCAAGGTTTATCCATGCTGTGGTATGTATCAGGATTTCTTTCCTTTTCAAGGCTGTATAATATTCTATTGTGTGCATCTACCATATTTGGTTATCCATTCACGCATCAATGAACGCTTGGGTTGTTTCCACCTTTTGGCTATTGTGAATGCTGCTGCTATGAACATAGGTGTATAAATATCTCTTTGAGTCCCTACTTTCAATTATTTTGGATATATCCCCAGAAGTCGGATAAACTCTATCCCTTGTTAGTTTGTATCACACATCAAAGTCTAATATTTGTGAAATATAAATGGTATCCATAAATTGCTTCCCAACATCCTTTTTTTTAACCATTTGCTACCATCTCCACATTCCATCACTTTACATAACTACACAAACATTAGTAAGCTATATATGTAACAAGCCAGGATATAAGAGCTCAAAAAGCCAGCTGTAGATTCAGTGAATTGATGGCAACAGTCAAGAATGTCCCCAGCAGCAGCAACATCTGGTAAAGGACTTCCCTTGAAGGGGAATGATGATTGGAAATCGATGGCCAGACCCACACCTAATTCTATGTCTCTGATAGGATCCCTGGGCATTACTTTCAATTACACATAAATATGTCATTTCTTAAGCAACAAATCAAGTTATATTTCTTGATCTAAAACATTTTGACCATAAAGGTTATCTCTATCTAACTTGCCCAGTGAAGTTTACCTACAATTTACCCATGGAAAAGTAAGTTCTCAATAAAGGTTCATTAGCTACCAGATGTATGCCTTTTAAGACTGTTTAACCTCCATTCTTTTATTTCAGAAGTTATCTAACTTCCACCAAATCAAAAAATTTTACAAATCTAGTCACTGGTATTTCTACCTGTGCTGAACAGTCCTCATATTTACTTCCCGAATCAAAGAAAACTACCTAACATTAACAATAATTTTACTAGTTTTAAGTGAAGCTGAAAGTACCCGACTCTAGTAGCCACTGTGCAAGAGACTATGTGGATGCGGAGACAGGTGGGCAAGAGGGAGCCTGTTGAGGCACAAGCACTGTGTGCCTGAGCCTTCCTCAGGGCCACAGCATGGTGGAGACACTCGAACACAAGAAGCTTAAGAAGCCATTAGTGAAAAGCCCAGTGTACTTAGGTATTAATGTACACAGTGTAAGACAGTAACATTAGAGGAAATAAGAGAATGGAGGGGAAAATCACTGTGGGTTTAAAGTCCACTCAGAGGATGAGATGGCTCTAGAAGAATGGAAAAGAAGAGAAGATTTTGTTGGCAAGGAGAACCACGAAGCCAAGACACAGAAAGAACAGAACAGACCCCAAAGTACCAGGGTCTGAGTCTGAAAAAAAAAGTGTAGTAGACTAGTAAGGGCTATGTGAGCCATGGCATTCCTGCCTCTGGACATGGCAGATAAAATGTTACTTCATAAATATTCTAATGGCTGAGAACTGTCCTTTTTTCTTTTAAAATCACATTTACTTCATGTCTCTAAGGTTTTATTTTTCCCCCCCACCCTGAAGCAAGTATGTCCCACAAACAAATCTCTCCACAAGACTCAATTTCACATAACACTTAGATGTCCTAAGGAGCCAACCAATATCAACACATGTCCTCCTCAAGAACCGTACAAATGTATCATCACTATCCACACTTACATTATTCTGAATATACTTCACAGAACTTCACATAAAATTCTCTTACTTTAATAGTTAACTAATATTGCTTAACTAGTAGGTGTAGTATTGCAAATCAAGCCCCAGCATGCATTTTGCTCACTACTTGCTACCTTTTTTCCATATGAAATAAAGTACTTGCCCCTGATCTAATTTGTTCCCTCTACCTCTAATAATATAATGGCAATTCCATTCCTATACTTCCTAAAAAAAAAACAAAAAAGAAAACCAACAGGGACAGACAGAAGGAATTTGTGATACTATTAAGACATTTTGCATATTCAGCTAACTAGACAGCTATTAAAATAACCAGACAAACTGGCAAGAGAGCACAGTGTCAACAGCCTTACTTGGTTAGAAAATGGGAGTCTCCAAGAAAACAACGGCATCTAAACGGGACTATCACAATTACGGTGATGGGGATCAAAGCTGAAACTCAAGCTTCTTAATCTCTGGAAAAACTTCCCCCAAACAGAAAATAACACTTCCTCATTCAATCTTGGCCAGCACAATGTCAGTGAGTTCTTAGCTTTTCCTCGAATATTTGTGCCTGGTATCCCAAGAGAAGCAGCTACAGGAGGAAAGGACAAAGGAGTTTTTCTCAAAGTTTCAATTATTTGATTCTACAACTGTTTAAACATCTAGGTTCCTTGTCTCTGGGATAAAAGATGAAACTAAATGAACCATATCTTGTTTCTTTGGTTTGTTTGCTTCTTAAGCAACTTTATCTCAGGGCTGCAAATACAACTTTTCATTCTAGGTTGCAAAACTTGAAATAACTTTGCTATTCTAATTAATACCAGGAATAATACATACTTCATGCTCAGAGAAACTTGAGATAACCTTTAGCTTCCTTGGAGCACACTACAGGAAAAATATGTCAACATGGACCGCAATTTGTAATCATCTGATTAACTTCTCATGTTAATTTCTTGCCAAAATCACAGGCAAGAGACATCATTCTGAGGTTTCCATTTATTTGTCCTTTAGCTGGATAGTCTATTCATGCAATAAAGTTTTCAAAGCATCATCTTTTTAGGCATGATTTGAAACCATTCGTCAGTGGAACACATTTTGGCAGCAGCATTGCACTACATAATTAATGGTCAATTTCATTTCCATGGCAATCCTTACTTTTCAGGAAAGATCTCAAGAGCAGTAATTTTCTCCATATGTACCTCTAACAAGAAAAAGTGAACATTTGTGAAAATTCTCAGTCTTGTTGTAAACTGAAGTCTCTTAAATTTGGTGGGGAAAGAAAACGTTAAGGAATATAATTCAAAAATTTTAATTAACGTGGAAGTTTCTAAAGACAATTCCGTATGTACAGAACTGTAGATAGTAGGCTATGTTCTGGGAGTGGGATTAGAAAGAAAGTGGTGGGGGAGGCTTCTAATGTCAAATATTTCAATAGTGTCTCTTTATTTGTTTGTTTAAAAGTATATATAGTACTTTTTAAATTAAACAACAAAGAACCAATAAAGTTTTTGAAAAACAGGCAGCTCAATTTACAGAAGACAAGGGTTGGACAGTAACAGCATCAGGTAGAGAAGCATCAAGGTGGAGGAGATTAGGTTCCTTCCAGGAGAGCAAGGGAAGTAACCAGACCTCCAAACAGACTGAGGTAACTCTAGGTTACCAGGTATCTAACACCACTATATGGGGTTCCTAGAGAAAGAATGTTCTGGTTCCTCACTAGCCTCAAAGTTCCTGTGAGTCACTCAGCCACAGGCCATAATCTGAAAGGCTTCCAGCAACAATCCAGAGTGCAGTTCAGAGTCCTCTGCTGGCAGCTACTGAGCTCCAAAGGACAGTGCCTGCCACTGCACCAGAGAGGTAGGCATCAGGACACACCTGGTCACCTCCAAACCTTTCTCTGTGAGCTCACACACAGTTCAAAGACTCTCTCATGGCAGTCTCCTAAAAGGATGCATGACAAAATCTTCCACTTCTCCCTAGCAAATCTCAACTAGAAGACACTAAGAAAAAAAACCCTGAATACCTCTTCAAACAAACCTCACATGACATAGGAGGCACTGTGTCCATTAAATCATCCCAGAGAATAGCACTTGTATTCAAGCTAAAGCACACACACACTTGACAAAAAAGTTATGTTATATATGTGTGTGTTATATATGCATGTTTGCATACATACATATATACACACAACATATATATTCATAACTGCATATATATATGCAAAAATAATGCCATTAAAATCAACTAATGAAGGAATGCCTGAAGAATACAATGACATAACTTTTCCCTCTTAAATAACATCATCTTTTCACCTTTTAAAAGTCCTAAATTAAACAAACAATAAATCAAGATAGAAAACAATTGCAAAGATCAACCACATGGTTCTATTTACAGAAACTGAAAAGTTACCTACCTGAAAGTCATCATAAGGGAACAGCAGCATCTCCCTTAAACAGTCGTTCAGGATCTGTGTTTTCTTCTGGACGATGACATTTTCATAGTCAAGTGGCTCAATCAGCTTTGGCTTGGCCTGGAAGGTGAAGGATAAGCATCTGAAACATTCTTATAGGTAAATGCAATTTCTTAGGATTAAAGAACTTCACTAATTCTACTCTACATGTATTTGTATTTTCTAACTTTTCTATAATTAGAATGTGTTAGTTTTGCTACCAGGAAGAGTCAGAAACAAGAGATAAAACTTGTTTTCAAAGGAAAAGAAGACACTTTATGGCAGTCTGTCTACATATAGTCATGATTGCTTAGTTCTTTAAGCACAAAGGAGGCTATGGACTCTGGTGGAACTTCCAGTCATGTCTTGAGTCACCCCTTGTTCAGTCAGTCCCCTTCCAAGCCTTAGGCTCTGCCAGAGCTGCCTACTTAGGGCTCCAGCTATGGTCTGGCAGTGAAGGTGCCCACAGTGGCTCCAGTCATGACCACTCTTTCTTGGCTCAGGGCTTAAAGCATCCACAGGGCTCACTATTTCATATAAGACTCTATGGAACTCACCTTTGAATCTCAAAATATCCCTGTCAATCCTGAAATATTTACAACTTAGATATGTAATAGCTAACCACAGAAAACCCAGGCAAGCAGGGGGAGAAAAAAAGGTACTACCTAAACCAGGGCATGTGGGTGAACCTCATGGGTAGAGATGGCCACCCCTACCAGGCACTGAGAGAAAAGAGGCAACCAGCAAGTGAGGAAAGAAAAGAGATAATATGCCTTTCCTAACTATTTCCAAAGTTATTCTTCTCAGTAAAAATCTCTTTATCTTTGCCAGTCATTGCCATGATGTTTATTGGTCACTTAACACTTGCAAGGCACTAATGGTTAGGTCAGGGATATAGACACATATTCAACTAACTACAGCACAGCATGTCAAGTGCTAAAATAGATCTACACACACATACACAGAGCAAGATTATTTTTTGAAAATATTAAAAAGCAACTAATATTCATCATCTCAATGAATGCTATATATATTAAAATTACAATTAATATAAGATAGATATTAAAGACATCTGATATGTAGCATCTAAATTGGGTATTGTGACTGAGGCTGTTACATGTTCCCCAAATCTGCTTCCTTTCCTTTCAAATACAGCTGGACTACATTTCCTAGCCTCCCCATGGTTGGGTGTGGCTATATGACTGTCTTCTGGCCAATGGTATATACGTGGAAGGAATGTGGCCACTGCCAAGTCTGGCCCATAAAAAGCCTCTGCCACAGACTAAATGTTTATTCCCTCTCTAAATTCATATGGTGAAACCTAATCCTCAATGTGATGATATTAGGAGGTAGAGTCTTTGGGATCTGATTAAGTCATGAGAGTGGAACCCTCATGTGTGGAATTGGTGCCCTTTTATGAGAGACCCCCGAGAGCTCTCTTGTCCCTACTATGTGAGGACACAGAGAGAAGACGGCCGTCTATGAGCCAGGAAGTAGGCCTCACCAGAGATGGAATCTGCTGGTGCCCTGGTCTTCCTTTACAAAAGGCCCTTCCAAGTCCATAAAAGGACATTTCCCTCCTTTGTTTCTCTGGACTTGCACATGGTTTGCCATTAGACCACATGTCTCAGATTGTAATTCTTTGTTCTTCCCAAATAAATCCATTTTTCTGGAGAAATATCTGGCTGTTTGTTTGAGGTCAACAGCCTATTTAGCACACCAAAATAGTGTTTTTGTTAATTAGATGAATTACTGTTTTTGCCTGAAGGTATCTTGGAAGTATTTAATGACAGAATGTAATGTTGTAGGTATTAGAATTGCCTTGCTTTTATGTGCCAGTGCGCAACTTTCAAGGTATTTTCACACTGATAATCACACTCATCCACTGTTAAATCAATTAATCAAGAAGACCATTTGACTGGGGTGGCTCTAATGCTGGGCAGCCTACATAAGAAAGCCAAAATCTAAGCCTGTAAATGCCTCATGGCTATAAAATCAAAACATTAAGGGGCTAACAACAAACAGCCAACTAGGCTTTAGGCTACAGTCGATCAAATAATTTCTTTTCTTTGTTCATGCCTCTCTCTATATAAGTCTCTCCCCAGCTTCTGTCAGCTGAATGCTCCTAACCATTTCCAGTTTGGTGCTGCCTGATTTGAAATTTTTGCTCAAATAAACTCGTAAAATTTTTAATATGCCTCTGTTTATTTTCTAACACCCCTTAACAAAGGTAGGCATGAAAACATCGCTCTGTTTTACTGAGGCTAGAAACTGAAGGTAATAAGCTGAGCTAACTGCCTAAAGTATACCCCCAAGGAACCAGCAGGGTTAGAAGGCAGTCTTCTGTGCAACAGAACTCTTTCTTCTCCAGGCTGCCCTTTTAATAGTCTGGGATCTCCACATAGTAACTGTGTGGAGAGCTTATGAGCCAACATTTCTGTTAAAAATGAATGACGCATGCTAACCAGGAAAGCACACAGGACTGATTTCAACAACAGGGAGATCTCATAGAAGAATGACATGCCTGTCTTCTTTAGTCTCAAGGATTATGAAGATTTGAAACTTGTACAAACCCTTAGGTCACTTAATGAAACGACTCCTTGGAGACCCGACTGGGCAGAGGTCTTCAGCAGTAGCAGGGAGCACTTTCCAGGATGAACCACTGACTCCAAGGAAAAGGGGTCAACCCTGAGTGACTCACCTGCTACTTAAATTAAAAACAGTGCAAAAAGCTCTTGCTTCAAATACACGTAACTGGCACAATGCCTCCCTTCTACATGTGGTCCTCAGGAGGGGGAAGAAAGAAGTTATCAGAGGAGATAGGCTGAGAATAGAGACTGGTGAAGCAAGAGAGAAAAAGGAGATGGGGGAGGAAAAGACAAAAGGGACAGACATCTAGAGTAAGGGAGGCAGAAGATGCAGAGATGGAGAAAACAGAGGGAAGGTGAAGAGAAAAAGAAGATAAAGAAACAAATGACAGAAGAGAGGGGACTGGGAGACTTGAGCTGGGTCTATGGGAAGTCACATCACTACCCACTAAATTGTGGGTTAGAATATAAATGCCTATTTTCTACTCTTCTTCAAACTGATGATTCAAAGGTTTGAGCTGTTCACTGTTCTTCAGCTTCACTAAGCTTTTCCAAGTGGTCACATGAGTTGGGGGACAGCCCACTAGGGTAGGGAACTGACTGCCCTGGTGACAGGAGCATGACCTTAACGGTAACATTAAATTAGGGTAATTCTGGCACATGGCCTTGGTTTTAAAATAATCTCAACATGCTTAAGTTCAATCCTTCCCCTGGTGGCAGAGCTGTAAGAGCTAAGTTCTTGATTTTCCATCAAAAGAAAGATTCTGGGCCCAGACTTACCTAAATTGACCAATGGTCATGAATGGAGCTGCTCCTAGACCATCAGAAACACTATGTTTTGAAACCACGAGAATTCACCAGTTTGAATTTTAAATATTCAAGGACACTGTGTTTCCCTAAGCATGATGGGGTTCAGCTATCTCCTGAGTCTATAAAATTCAAAACTGGTATAGTGGGTGGTTATGTTGCTTTCATAGTGTGGGAGAAACTCGACCTACATACACAAGTCCTTCAGATCTCTATCCAGTCCTTATCTACAAACATTCATTTCTCAGGTTATTGTGAAATCAGAAAGGGAGAGGATGTGGTACGTTCAGTTTACAGCAGAATACAACAGTGGTTCTCACACAATGAGGTATCACTTCACACCTGTCAGAATGACTCCATCAACAAATCAACAGACGACATGTGCTGGCGAGGGTGTGGAGAAAGGGGGACCCTAGTACACCGCTGGTGGGAATGCAGACTGGTGCAGCCACTGTGGAAAACAGTATAGAGTTTCCTCAAAAAATTAAAAATGGAGCTGCCTTTTGACTCAGTGATCCCACTTCTAGGAATATATCCTAAGAATCCTGAAACACTAATCAGAAAGAATATATGCCCCCCGATGTTCACAACAGTGCAATTTACAATAGCTAAGATCTGGAAACAGCCCAAGTGCCCATCAGTAGATGAGTGGATAAAAAAAAGCTGTGGGACATTTACACCATGGAATACTACGCAGCTATAAAGAAGAAGGACCTTGTACCCTTTGGGAAAGTATGGAAGCACCTGGAGAATATTATGCTAAGTGAAATAAGCCAGGCAGAGAAAGATAAACATCACATGATCTCACTTATATGTGGAATCTAGAGAACTTAATAGACTGATGAATAGATTCAGTGACATGGAGGTATGGATCAGACTGATGAATCTCAGAGGGATGGAGGAGGGCGGGTGGGTGGAGGGGGAGAGATTAATCAAAGAATTTATACCCATGTATGCACAACCCAAGGATATGGACAATGGTGTGGAGAGGGACTGGGGGTGGGGTGGGAAGGGGTAGAATGGGTCATTGGGGAGAAAAAGGGACATCTGTAATAGTTAAAAAAAAAAAAAAGAATATAACAGTGCTTCTCAAAGTAGGGTCGCAGGAACAGTAGCAATAGCATCACCTTGGAAGTTGATGCAAAGTAAACTAGGGCAGAAACTCCAGGAGTGGGGACAAGCTATCTGTGCTTAAGCAAGCTCTCCAGGGCATTCTAAAGAACTCTCAGTATGTAATGATGTTCCAGGAACTGTGCTGGAATTTGTAAATTCAGAGGGGGAACAAGCCCAGTGCTTCTTAGCCTCCTTGGCGTTAGTCTCCTATGAAAACCTGGGCCTACTCCCCCAAAAAATGTATATACACATTACTTTCCAAAAATTTATATACAGTTTTGGGGGGAAGGTTGTCATTCCCTGGAGATCAGCCATCGAACTGAGTTGAAGACACCCTGGACTAGTGGGACAGGCAGTCTCATAAACACTTAATTCAATACAGTGACAGGTGCCGGCAGAAATTAAATGCAGAACTAAGGGAGGAGGTGGAGCCAACTGCTGTCCATGGGGTGTGAGGTTTCCCCACTTCACCAAGGAAATGATACTTCACAAGTGCTGAGAGAAGAGGGAGAATTCTTCAGATGGCAAAGCGTTGAACTCCTTGACAATGCAGCAGTCCTTGGCTAGGCTGAT